TGGCATGGTTTGATGTCCCACAATCGTGAGGCATCAAAGGTAACTATAAATAAGAGTTACTTTCATCCTGCTCATCAGCACTACACTGATGAGGCCCATTAGGCCGAAACGGTACCGTCTATATATATATATATATATATATATATATATATATATATATATATATATATATATATATATATATATATATATATATATATATATATATAGTCATTCACCGTATATGAGCTGTTCTGCAATCTGATTGGTTGAATTGCTCGCCGTATATCAGCTCATATACGGCGAGTAGCGAAAAACAAGATGGCGGTCCAAAAACTACACGTGTTTTGCGAAGCAGAAAAAAGGAAAATATTCGCTTCAAAAAAATTGGACAGGTTAGAAAAATACATTTATTACATAGAAATTAGTTTAAATACAAGTTTTTGTTAAAGAATTAATTGACCGAAACAACAGCGAAAAATTGGAAAAAAACATGTTCATTGTTCAGAAAAGTTTGCAACGAAAGACAAATGAATTTGCAGTCAACAAGCACTTACTATACTACCAAACATCTGTATAATATATCTGAGCTTTTCTGTGAGATATACCGGTTCTAAAATAATTTCTTTCACTTCGTCTTCGAGTTGTAAAACAAAAGTATTTCAAATTTTCAAGGCCAAGCGGCTTTTGGCCGAACAAATTGTCAAGACATTGTAACAGAAGATAATTAATTATTGCTTCAGTTAATGGCTATTAGACTATATTCTAAAACAATTATACCATTCGCTCTCGTCGTATATGGCTGATAGCCGACTCGGTGCTACGCACCTCGTCGGCTATCAGCGCATATACGACTCGAGCTCATGGTATAATTGTTAAATAAATATTATAGTATTCGCTTACGGCTAACACCGCACACTACAATATTATGGAAGTTTTTAAAAATCCTAGAGAATAGCAGCTGAGAAATTAATACTTTAAAATTCTTGGCAAATTGTATTTAATATTTATTGGCAGTGTGGATATAGCTGTTAGGAAAATATCGTTTTGGAGTCAGTGGTTTGAGATACGTTTGTTAGTTAGTGTACAGAAAACCATAAAGGTATTAGTTAGCTATAATATGACCTGTTATATGGTTTGTTTTTTCTCTAATTCATTTGGGAGAGACGAAATGGCTATATTTTTCATTTTGACTTTTGAGTGATTGAAATGAATGAATTTACACCATATCGAATGTCATGTTGAATGTTATTCAAATCCCGCAAAGGTGCAAATGGTCCAAAGCGCCAACAAAGATGGCGGTAACTTGACCCCTTTATTTTCAAGGTTTCAAAACGCTTTTCGCGATATTATACGCCAATTGTCAAATAGTAAGTTGGATGAAGATGGTGTGGACAGCATTATTTTCCGTCTTGAAGAATCAGCCCATCTTGTTCGGCTATACATGCAATGTCGACTTGATGACTACTGTGAAGTACGCCATTCAACACTGATCCACAATTTCCAAGCGCGCGTCCCGCGACGGTGTGGAAACTGGAAATTCAAAGCGCCTGGGTACGAAGCTGGCGTTAGGCAAAAACTGCTGGGATGCTTGCGAAAAATATGTTGCCGAATGACAACATATATATTGCGAAAAATATGTTGCCGAACTGATGACAAAGTCTGTTGCCGAATGACAAAGTCTATTGCCAAATGACAAAGTCTATTGCCGAATGACAAAGTCTATTGCCGCCGAATGACAAGTTCTATTGCCGAATGACAAAGTCTATACCAAAATGCTATCAACCAGATAGCCAATTTCATACGCCGAATGATATCTTTCCAAATAATTCAGATTAGTGAATATTGACACTGAAAATGCACCATAGAAATTTGCATAGCGGGACTAAATCGTTGGGCTGGCTACGCCACAGTATAGGCCAATCTCTGTTCTATCAAGCCTTTCTTCTTCTGATGGATGTGAATGAGTAGATGATTTATGAATGTTCTGAGTTTATCATGTCTCTCATCTGAACATCAAGGGCCGGTTGTTCGAAAGGCGTTTCGTTTAACTTAAGGCATTTAGCCGGCCGCTATCCCCAGCCGATAAAATTGCGTTGCAAAGAAGCCAAAACTCTTTAAAGAAATAACACAGTTCGTACTATAATATAAACACCTACCAAATTGTTTGACTTCGTCTTCAGCTAGGATGTTTGCCGACGACACAAACATCTCAACCCAATGCAAGACTATAATTACGAAATACAAAAACGCCTAAACGTGAAAACAAACATACACTTAACAACAAATAAAAAACTGAATAAATGTTTAAAGATATAATGTTTAGAGAAATTAGCTGCCGGTAAACGTCGTAACCCCCCCCCCCGTCCAATCGCCTTATTTTGAAGGCTCTGTAAAATTTAAGGTGACTTCCAATATTAATTCCGGACGGAAATGATGTCACAATAACTCCACTTCCAACCCTACCCTGAAATCAGGTGCGTGCGCGTCCTCTGCTTAGAATTCAAAACATTAATTATAAATCATCACGATATATTTGTTACTTTCTAGCATATATATTATATACCACTATTCTAGCCAACGTTGCCGTATCTATGACTGTAACTATATATGTTCTTTCCTCACGACATAAAATGTTACGTATGTATAACATTGATATGCATGTACAATTCTAAAACTAATTCAAAATTCAAAGTTTAAAATTCCTTAATGGTATATATAGATGAAATAAAGTTGAACCTCATAGATAAAGAGAGAGGGTCTGAGAGCAATTCTATTCGCAGTTTGTCTCCTCTGGAAAAATGGTTGGGACTTTAAACGTAATAGTTGGCCAAGCCTTTGTTATTTCAGTTTGGATATCCGCGAACATACCGCTAGCAGAGGAAAATTGTCTCACAGCATCTTTAGTAGGCCAATTGCGCCTCCAAAACGCAAACTTTTCAGCGATGGTTCCATCAGTATGAATACAACAGCCAGCGGTCCACATGATCTCTGGAAACGAAACTCTATAGTCCTTCAAAGGGGTGGTCTTCGACATGCCTTGGAAATTACCGAATCCGGCCGAACCAAAGAACCTTGGTTCTCCGACAAAGCTTGATGGAACCACACCAACTACAACATAAACTTTTGCATCGTGCCCATTTTTCGCTGCGTTTTGTTGACAGTTCGTGGCCCTCTTAATCACGCCTGATTCGGCAACCCTCCATTTGCCAGAATTGAAGGGGCCTATTTGTGGTACAGCATTTGTGTAGGTAAATGTAGCGTCAACACCAGCCTGTTGTCCATGACCTTGCCCATACTGAGCGGCGATCATATGTCCTCTGTGGATTGAGAGTTTTGGATGAGGTATTGGGCATGGTTGACCATCCCATTGCAATAAATTTGAGCTTGCAGAATCTTCGTAACAGTAAAAACGAGTGTTTAAGTTACTGTAATCTTTATCTTCTGCCAATAGGTTCTTATTTCCTAAAAGTTGTAGGTCAGTAGATCTTTTCCAGCAGTCTTTCCGTTTAAATTTACCTGCAAGAAAAAAGAAAATTCGTTTTGACATACTGGTGGGGGAGCATACGTCGTGAAATATAATCCCCTGAGAATTCCATGGAGGAAGTGTGTCACGTGCATGCAGTAGATGTGTTTAGAAGACCTTAAGAAACCAACAAAAGGTTGTTGCTAATATTTTAACATACATGAACGCGCAAAAGTTACCTTATCTGGCAATGGACATTTGCATTATAGACTAAATTTTGATCTAGACAAAAATTTCATCACAGCTTGAAAGAGCATCACAAAATTAGTAATTCCAAAGTTTCGTTGCGAAATGTTGTAAAATATATAGCTTTGCGAAGTTTGCCGTTTTTCAGTCATTTTGTATTACCCACGGGAAATTGACAGCCCAATCGGGTGTTGGGGCATCAATTTCCCGTTTATAATACAAAATGACTGAAAATTGCAAATTTCGCAAGGCTATATAATTATCCGCATTTTACAACATTTCGCAACGAAACTTTGGAATATTACTAATTTTGCGGTGATGCTCTTTCAAGCTGTGATGAAATTTTTGTCTAGACCAGAATTTAGTCTATAATGCAAATGGTCCATTAGCCTTATTATTGTCATGATAAAAATGTGCAATTTCAAGTTCACCTCTATAGCAATACAACCAGAGCAATTATGACTGAAAATGAGCTATACATATAATATTCCTTGCAAGCTTTGTGTAAATGATGCAGGTTAAATTTGTTAGACGTGAATTTGAAATTGCACATTTTTTGTTTTGCTAATATAGTAATTTAATAAACAGTGCCTATGACACGAAATTTCACCCCAAATGTTTACGGTTGCATTGTAAAGATCACTTAAAATAACTTAATAATTTCTTTTATAGAATTTTGGTAACTTGCTTCCTTTTCAAGATATTCAACTTTGTTTCATATGCAAATATCACCGCGGTGTGACATCACATCACATAATGAGTTTTCAGTAAAGTATAGTTTTCTTGACTAATACGTATCTAAAAAAACCCTTAAAAATTGCCCTTGTATATGTATTAATTTCATAACTGGTATTATTTTAACCCTCTGTATTTGTTTGTAAAAATATTTTATCAAGGTAAAATATTGCGTTTTCAAAATGTCATTATGCGATGTGATGACACACCGGTGATATTTGCATATGAAACAAAGTTGAATATCTTGCAAAGGAAGCAAGTTACCAAAATTCTATAAAAGAAATTATTAAGTACATTTGGGGTGAAATTTCGTGTCATAGGCACTTTAAGGCCGTTTTCATTAACGTTCGCTTTGCCCGCGCGGGCGAAGCGTTCGTTGTTTTTTACGCCCGTCACTGACGCATATTCACTTGGTTTCTTTGGGTCCCTTAACACATCTGGATAGGTGGCATGCTTTCTTCACAAAATTCACAGGGAATTGCAAGAGCATGTGAGACACCAGATTTTTGCAGCGGTTATTGCCAAACTCTGTGCTTCAATCAATCGGTTCTCTGAACTATATCATAAAACGGCCAGCCTTGTGATTAGAAGAGGTTACTCTCGCAATATTCTTTAGAATATTAGCTAGCAGTCAATACACACAGACGTTTGACCGCGGCGTTGTTTTAAACCAGAGCTCGTTCCCAGTCCCCAGAAATTTCAGCGATAAATGGTTCCAAAACGCCAAAATCATGAACAAAACTGTATATTAAAGATTATTTTTATTGCTTTTCTGAAATGTAGGAACGAATACATAAAATATGTCCATAATTCTATCTATAAAGGTCAAAATTTGCCGGAAAATGAAGAATATGCTAGTAGCAATTAAAATCGTTTCACTTTGTAATCCGATCGGAATAAACCCGTATGCTGTAACGCGAAACTTAGGTGGGCGGTCAGACAAAAAAGCGGCATATCTCAATCGGAGCATGCGTAGTCTCAAATGTAGAAGCAAATTCAGAATCGCTTCACTGTAACGAGCATCTCAACACCAAACGGTCCAAACCACTGTTGTCTCGTCCTAAATAATATCATGATCAGGTGGCAAAATGCGTATTTCTTCAATCAAGTCTGCGTGTAAACACATGCGCTATCTGCGCATTTGTCGTTCTTATATTCCCTGGTTTTAAAGAAAAAAAATTGCTGAATTAAACAGGTAAACAGTTTATTTTAATTCCCCCAAACATTTGGAAGTCGAAATTTTGTAAATATCACGCGTACATGATCTATACAAATAACGAAACGCTATTGGCTTGCTTAAGTCACGTGCTGAATTCTGATTGGCTAAGCTTAGAATGCGCTAGACGGTAATGAATAAGGAAAAACTAAAAAATTATCAAAACAGTGAAAAAAACATTGTTCTGAGGAATCTGAGCGACTATGGCAATTGAAAAGCACTTAAACATTGCCTATGCTGGCGAAGTGAAGAAACCAGCTGGAAAATGTGACATCGACAGGCAGGGCCTTTCAGAGGGGGAGGGCAAAGGGGGCAGTTTGCCTCGGGCCCCCAGTGAGGGCCCCAAACTTGCAAAATAAAAAAATAATAGTTTCAAACATTTTTTATATAAATAAAGGAATGAGGAAAAAATTTTCTAAACCTAAATTTTACAGATATTGGTCCCAAAAAAAGGGTTTGCCCCATGTTTTAACAGGAATTTGTCCGGAAAAAATTTTTGAACCTAATTAGTTCCACTGATGTTCGTCCGGAAAAATTATTTTTTGACCTATTTCTTTAATGTCCGGAAAAAATGTTAACACCCCCCCCCCCCCATATATATATATATATATATTCATATCTACTCATATATGGTTCCAAAGCAGATCTTCTGAAAGGCTACCGTGTGTTATAAAATAATAATAATACGTACGGTATATCAATGACACTTTAAATTAACATACCTCCCGCGTTAGCGCCCTCTATCACTGTAGCAGCGTACAATGGTATACGAGCGTCGCAGTCGTATAGAATAGCAACAGTGCCTCCTTCACATATCGTACCAACACTGCTTGGTGTGCCAATTGCAAATTGATCCATGTCCTTTGGTGCAACGCCATCTAAATTCGTCAGGTCTTTTTTTGCAGCTGCTGTTTTCGCACCGGTGTTCAGGTCACATGCACCAGCGAAATTACACACACAGTCAGAAAGGCCTGTTGGGCTGAATCCATTCGTCGAACAAACTCCTGGGGGTAGGACACGTTTTCCTATATCCGATAAAATGATAGATATACACTCTAAAAACAGTCTGGTTAAATTTGGGTTAATTCAACCAGGATGGGGTTAAAAGTACACAATCCTGGTTAAAAAAATTAAACCATTTTCCTGGTTAAAAGTCCAAAGAAGTATGGCCAGATTTTTGTTGAATCAATAATTTTCAACCCGGAAATGAGTTAATTTAACCAGGAATGTGCTAGGTAGTTTATTGATCCAGTTCCTGGTTGAATTTAACCAGAGTGTTTTTAGAGTGTAGAATGCATACATACTGTATATAGAGACTTGTTCATTTACTTGTTCATGGGAAGTGTTCTTATATTGTATTTCTGCAGTTATGATTTGTTTTCACAAAGCGAACGTTTATTTTATGGATACTGAGTTATTTCTTCCATTAAAGTCACACATGTTATAAAATTGCACGATATAAATTCACAACAATAAAATCGATAAAAAGCGACAAAATTAAATAAAATTTATATTCAGTTTCAGGCGACAGAACGATTGCGACACGCTCCTCTCTTTGATAAATCATCTACGTGGTGGGGCGACATTCCCCTCTCCCCGAAATAGTTCAGAGTTGGAAAACTTAATATTCTTTGCCTGAAATGCTAATTTAAGGTCATTATAATTATGAATATGATTCCTCGTTACGTGATTTGAAATCTAAGCTGAAAGACAACTGATCTTCGCCAAAAATTTCGACTGTGAATTCTAGACATTAATTATAGCCCCATAAACAGGAGCGGCTACGAAAAATACAACTATATATAGGCCCTCCTGCAGGAATCGAACCTGCGTCCCTGCGATTCTGGAAGAGCGCTCTAACCAACTAGAGCTACAAGCAGAGGCTAGTAGTTGTCGAGTTCTATATAACCGCAAGTTCATTAGATGAGAATGGACACCATTATGTTTACAAGATTTCGCATGCTATATAGAAATTGTGACGTTCCCATAATGCACGACTGCTGGCGGTGAATTTCGCACATGACAAAACGAGAAATTTAATTTTACGTGTACATGTATATACCTGTGTCAGCACGTGAATTAACACGTGAACGTAGACTTTCTCCACCGTCTGCAGGTGCCGTTAAATTTGCACTCCACACGATGTTGGTTGCTGTGACTAACATAATTAGTGCAGATGACATCTCCATCATTCTGTGAAGTTAAAATGAAATTGTACGTACGTGAAATTGTAAGGCCGTTCAAAGGGTCAATGTTGGCCCAACATCGTGCAATATTATGCCCGTTTCCACTTCGACCATATCGTACAAAACAAACTTTTTAATTTAATCATATAGGTGCATGTCAACTGCCCATGCATGCAGAAGACAGTTCCTGTGACCCTAAATTTTCAAGATTTTTGCGGGATAACATGCACAGACTACTTAACCAAAACATGAAACCACTCAGTACACAAAATCAATTTCGTTTTCTAAGATCGAGATTTAAAGTCATAGTTAAAGTAACAGGAAAATATTACTAAGTTAACTGGAAATATACGGCATGCAACAACCACTCGCCCTTTTTCCGCTTAAATTAAGTAAACATTGTATAACCTTCAATTTAAAATAAAATTCAACCTTCAAATGGACGCTTCATGGCCAAATGCTCATTTACTGGCTGTGCATTTAAAGTTTATTTACTGTGCATTTACCCCATATGAAACAGTATTTTCGCAGTTAGTATCCGAATTGACAATAACATTTACTTAATATAAAACTCTGATAAATTTTCACTTGTGTAGTTTAGTTACTGCGGCGCTAAAAATGCGAGCAATGTCTTGTTGAAAAAAGGACGCAGACGCTTTTAAAAATGCATGCATGGGGCATGCACTACAAAGTCAGTTTACAAGAAAGAAGGGGCAAAACTTGAGGGGGGTATGTGGGAGGGGGGGGGGTGCGACACCCCCCCCCCCCAAATACAAATCATCTGGATTGGTAGGGCAATCAAAGACTTTAAATAATAGAATGTAGAGTTATTAAGTAAGTTACAGAGCTTTCGGAGAGAATAGACCTAAATTGTACAGATATCGGTCCAAAAATAAGGGTTTCACCCATGTTTCCAAAAATAAGGGTTTCACCCAAAAAAATTTTTGACCCTTTTTTTAATGTCCGGAATAATTTTTGGGAAACATTTTTGGGAAAAATAATGGCCAGAAATAAAAATTTTCTGCAGGGCATTATCGGTTTTAGCAGGGCAATTCTGGCAGACACCCCCCGAATTAAAAGCTAGGGGCTAGTTTCGCCCCTGCAAGAAAGATGTTCGTCAAGACAATATAAGGGTTAGGTAAGCGCGTCAGTTTTCTTATTTTATACGGTTGGAATTGAAATCCTTGTATTTTTCTTGTTTAATTAACTTTATTATATAAAGTATAGTGCTTTATAGGAATTATAGAGATTCCGAGCACGGATAAAACTGATAATCTCACATGTGAGATTAGTTATGATAATTCACATGTGAAAATTATCGCTTGTCAATTATTGCTTTTCAATTATAGCTTTTCTGTAACAATTATCGCTTTTCAAAGATTCAGTATCCTTTATATAATAAACAGAAAAATACATGGGTGTTTGGAAATACCAGATTTATTTCTCGTGTTCCAACACTCGAAATAAATCTGGTATTTCCGCGCACCATGCATGTATTATTCTCTATTTAAATTCAGTGATATACAGTATCATTCCTTGTTACCACGGAATGAAAATTGGCAAGAAATATTCAAAAAAGAATTCTCAAGACAGTATGATGTTTTATTTTGTACTCCCAAATAACTGTTTTCATGGCATGGTAGGTCCACTACATACATTAACGTCATTAAATCGCCGCAATATAATATTGTAGATTCTCAATATAACCGTATAGGAGACAGGTTCCATTGTTCCAATTCCGTAGGAAACAGGTTACAATTCCATTCCAGATTTTACAATTCCTCGTTTTACAAATTCAGGATGTGGTTACTTGGTTTTGATTTAACTATTCGATCTAAGTGCAATCATGCGTGCATGACATCACACATAAAAGACAGAGATATCAGGAAGTCAGGGTAAATGCCAACTTACGGGACTGCTTGGGTTTCTACAGAATATTGTGAGACTCTATGTCTGACGTTTAGCGTTGGGGACATAAGATTGTTATGCCTTATTCGATGCATAATAAGAGATAAAGTATTGGAATAAATTAGTTTAACTGTTTCTTTGATCTTGGCCGCTTGTATTTCTCGTTGCTCACCCCGTCGCCCGGCCTCCCCCAACAAGACAACCTCACTGACCTGCTCCTCAGCTCACGGGTTCGCATTGCCCGTAACTCTCTCTCGTGAGCTGATCTTAGCAGGAATGCAGTTAGAATAGAATACTGCCTTTAATCTTTATTAATCTGTTCATTCATGTAATATATAGGTAAATCTCAAATATCTGAATTTTTTATCCCACCTCAAATTTCTATTGGTTTTGTTCTAACTCACGGCAAATTACTCAAGTTTACTAAAACATTAACACATCATGCAGCGTCGTTGAAAAGCTGACTCGTCACTATTCTTTCGCCAGAAATATATTCATCCAAAACTTTACTATCTTCTATATTTCGGCACTAAAACCTTTTTATTATCTTACCTTAAAAGCGCCCCAAGTATAAGGAGTTTTAGCAATGCGTTTTTGACGAACCTTGACTCAACCTTCTGCGGATAATCGCAAACTTAAACTGATCTGTTCAACTTACTTTAACTGTTTAAGAATTACATGTTAAAAATATACCAGTTTTCGGTGTTGTATTCAGGGAAATGTCTATCGCTTCATTGAGCCATTCTGAGCTTACCTGAACATGTCATTATCAGTCTGCGTGAAGTGACAGTCGTGTTCGTTGCTGTCAAACGAATACAGGTATACTTTGTTCAGTGAACTATACCAAATATTAGATCATGTTGACGATCAAAACTCATGTAAACAACTCTGGATCGCTCGCTGACTTGCCTGCAACCCTTCCTGTTTGATCAGATAATTAAAAAAGCATAAATTAAAATGCTGGAGACTCTTTGTGAAAATTTCTGTGAATATTTCCTTCTGATTTCTTAAAATCAAACTTTCGAATGCAGAGCTATTTAATTTGAAGAAATCAAGAGATCCTTAGCTATATCCATGCATCGACTGATAGCCACAGACTGTCAAAAGTCACATAAAAAATCACTGCAGCATTTTGAGTGACCGGTCATTTATCTCATTACACAATGTACGTTTAGGCATTGTTATCTCTTGAAATGGATTTATAAAGTATTAAAGTTACTGAACGTTTTTCCATATCATTTCTTCGGAAGTTTACAATTAGTTATAAATGCATATAACTCGTGCAATATATTTGCACACCATCTACTGTAGTAATAAAAATTTTAGCCGCGTATCTTGTTTATTTCACCGCTAAAACATTTTATTCTCTTACATCGAGAAAGTTGAAAGAATAAGGATTATATTTTTATCAATTTACGAATCTTCTGCGATATTTGAACAATTAAACTTAACTACTATACCACCAAAATGACAAGCATGTTAAAATCAGTATTAGATATTTTGGTGTTCTACTCAAGGAATTGTCAACCGCTCCATTGAGCCGTTCTATAAGCTACCGTCTACTTCAAATTCATAAGTTAAATATCAAAGCACCGGACACAGAAAAAGGACTTCGTGTTCAAACAGGCAAATTTGCTCAAAAAACTTAAGTGAACGTACACATGATCTTGCGGAGTTGCGCGGTCATCTTAAGTGTGTCTTTGATATAGGTTTGAGTAACACCGCGGAAAAACGTCTGCGCATGCGTCAACCTTACCTGTAATAGTATTGCGAACTTGATGAGAAGCTGTTCCGAACGTTTCCGAAGGCTCAAAATGGCGGTAAAAAGGAGTGACTTCATTGGGCGTCTTTACAGCCAGATTTCGAGCGCAAAAATAAACATGTCATTCTAAAAACTAGGAATAAATACAGCCAGAAGGTTCAAGAAATTGTATTGTACAAGAACATGAACTAAAGGTGATTGTTGACAAATTTATCGTCTGAAACATATTGTTTATCAACTAAGCAACGACAATTTCCAAATTTTCGTTTGAGATACATTTCTTTAAAAAAAACTGTGTCGCCAAATATAAAAAAATTTCGTGTTCACAAGAATTAAACTTTAGGATTTATTCTACAATTTGAGTGGGTTAAGAAACTTAACTTTTCGAGAGTTTTCTTAACTTTTGAGTTTGAATTTTTGTTTTGAATAATTTTGCAAAAATTTTCGAAGTCGTGTCCGTTAAAATCAACAATTTTTACATGAATTATATTTCA